AAATTTTGATGAGTAGAAAGTTATCTCTTCCTGAAGTGACTTCTAATTTATTTATAAAATCCAATGGTATCTTTTCCTTTAGTTTTAATTTGTTTTTAAGTATTTGGTTTAAATATAAAGATTTGTTTGTCAGTATCAACAGTCTGGTTCTTCGTTTGTATCCTTTCCGGTCGAATTTTACCACCTTGACACCATACTACATAGTACACAATAATATACAAATCATTAAAATAATTTAGTCAAATTCGTAGATCACCCAAATACAACACTATATAGAGGTACAATTATAAATATTTAAAATTTAAATCAACTATCACCCGTTCCCAACTATAACAAATCCAAACTGTCTTAAACACAGTTATAATATAGGTAAGTATACTTATGAAATTTGTGGATACAAAATTATACATTTTTACTTTTTATGTTGTGCCTATATTATGTACATAATACTGCRATTGTCTAATTTTAACATATAATTAAATTAGGATAATTCTTACAAGATATTTTTCATTTAAATTACGCATAAATGTCATTTTCAAATACTTCTCTAATGAATTCAATCGTTCRATCAAAAACAAACAACGTGTATCACAGTCGTAACTGCATTTTTTGTCTGAAATTAGGTATAATTTGTATGTGTCAGAACAATTTATGTTTAAATAAAATCATCGAACGAAACTAAGAAGAACATTTCAGAATAAATTGAATTAACTATACCTTTAAATAAATATTCAGCAAGCATTTTCAGTTCTATTTGTTTTTTGCGTTTTAAATCTTGTGATATCTTGTATCTTTTATTTTTCCAAATCATATGAATTTTTCTCAATTTATTACTTGCCTGAAAAGTTATAATGTATTAACTTAACTGTATTATGTTTTTAAACGGTTAGGTAATCTTACCTAATATACTGTTAAATAGGTAAAATACTAGGTAAATAGGTAGGTAATGTGTTTAGTTGTAAATTATATAATTCAAACTGTTTATAAGATGTATAATATAACATAAACAAGATAAAATAATGAATTTTAATTTTTAAATTAAAAAGTTGGACGATTCGTAGGTAAAACCGAAAAAAAWYMAWTTKGKYAWTTTTWRKTWAA